CACACACACACACACACACACACACACACACACACACACACACACACCTATCCGCCTTTCCACCGGTGGTTTGATTTTTGCTAAACTTAATCTGTTTCTTTGGAACGAACAGGTACTGGCCCTGCAGGGCGCGGGCTCTGGGAAGTTGCAAAGAGCGTGGGCGTGGGGCCCTGCAGCGCACCCTCGGGCTGGGCCAGGCGGGGAGCGGCAAACCTCTGGGCGTCGGAACAAGAGGGGGGTGAATTGGGGAGACCTTGGATCTTGGCTCGCAGTGCCTGGCCTCAGGCCTGCTGCGCCGGTCCAAGTGCCACCCCTTAAGACGTTTTGCCTTTCGCTTTTGGGACCTAAACCGACTGCACTCGGGTCACCTGTAGAAAGCTGAAACTTGACCGGGAGGAGGGAGCTGGGAAAGGGTGTTCGGAGGAGGCGCGGCCCAGGTTCGGAGCCTTAAGGTTTTGTCTGCACGGGGCGTGGCCGCGCAGGTTCCCTGCGGCTCTCAGGTAGCCCGGAATGGGGGGGTGGGGTGGAGAGGAGGGGCGGGAGCCTTGAACTTGGCTCAGGGGGGAAGAGAAACCCGGCTGCGGGCTCAGAGCCGTTTCTTGCAGGGCGAGCGTCAACTCGGCAGGCATTATTAACCAGGTCAGCGAAATGAGTCTGAACCCCTTTTCTAGAATCATGTAGCAGCCACAGACACTTCCTCCCGTTCCCCTCCCTCTTCCCAACCCCCAGCAACTCTTTTTCGTTTCTTTGCACGGTTTGTTTCCTTGATAGAATGTAATATTCATAGTTGTACTCTTGTAACCACACAGGCTCTCGCAGGTGGAGGAGCCGAGAGCATCTAGCCTGAAATCAGCCTTTGAAAGTCCTTTGACTGTTGGGTCTGAGATCTTGTCAGAGCAGATAAAGGAAAAGTTATTTCTGGTCCTTTGTCGAAATTAATCATGCTACTGAGGCGACCAGGTCATTTTAGGGCAAGGAAATCGCATGCAAAGTTCGAAGGCGAGCCCCTTGCCAAGGCTGGACTCGCCCTACTGCCTCTAAAAGCCCTGCAGGAGCTGCTAGAGTCACATGCCACGTTTCACCCCCAAGACTTTGGCTTTGCACATCGATTCAGGGCTTGCTTTGTAAGAGGCACGGAAGACAGTGGAGACATGCGCTCTGGAAAGTACCTTATAAAACGCCCTAATCTATAAGACAAGATTCACGAGAGGGAGAGAGATTTGTCCAAATCAAACAACTAGGTTCAGACAGGACTGGGACTGGTGGAGCTTTGCTTCCAGAATCCCTGGTCCTGAGAGCCCAGTTCTCCCTCACCTGACTCTCGACTGCCCCCTGTGGGCGACTGAGTCTGTTGCTTGTTTTTTAGTTAAAACTTTGAGCATAGAAAAACCCAATTATTTGCTTGGAAAATGTCTCCAGTTCTGAGAGCTGCATCTCCAGATCTCGCCAATCCTAAAAGGCGAATCTAATGAGAGTTAAACATGTGGCTCCACTTGCAGATCCCGTTGGCTTTCTTGGTATCCCTGATGCTTCGCGGAAGGCTGCTTCATTTGGAAGGCTTTCCAAACAGTTCCACAGCAAAAGGGAATTCTCACCCAAAGATGCTGACTTTACAGTTTGGGGCTTATTATTTTCGTTCTTTCGTTTTGGCTCTTTAGCACTGTGTTGTATATGAAGAGGACGTTTTTAATTATTATTGTTCAGAAATTATCTACTGTCTCTTGTTTACTGTAGGAAACAAAGCTGTTCTTGGTTCAAAGGGTTGATACTAAGTGGAAAAAAAATGTTGTATATCAAGAATACAATTTAGTGAGGTTTTTTTTGGTGATGTTATTTTAAGATCACACCCTGCCACGATGCAACCTGAACCATCAACTTGTTGCCCAAAATAATAGTTTTAAATGATATCAAGGGGCTTGGTAGGCACTTCTGCTTAACTGGTAGCGGGGCTGGAACTACGCATGCAGTGAGGTAGTTCGGGAAGACAAAACCTATTATGAATGTTAAGTTTGTTTTTTTAAAAGTAATTTTTATATGATATTGTTTTATATCATTTTATTGGTCTGACTTGATGGGTTTTTTTTTTGGTTTTACAATGGTAAATTTTAATGAAGTTGTTAAGTGTGTCATTTTTCATATCTTCAGTTTTATGGAGAATGATAAGTACAGCTAGACGGCTAATTATTCTGTGTATGATTGATAAGTTTGGAGTTACTTCAGCAGTCATCAGAATCCACAATGTTACTCAACTCAGTAAAAGAAAAGGCTGTTTTGAAAACAGTATTTTTTTTTAACCTGTAGATCTCGTCTGGGGGGAACCCCTTGGTTTTTAATTAGGTGCATTGCAAGATATTTTAGACACCATTCAGTCAGAGACAGAGAAAACAAGAGTAAGTAGGATTCTGACTCGTCAGTACCCTAGTAATGTGCTTAGTTACTCTGGGAACAGTTTTGTAAACACAGCCACGAGTTGGGTCGACCAGACCTTGAGTTTTGAATGATTTGCCATTTATGTTAATCAGAAAACAGACAGATGGCTGTATCCTTTCCCAGGTTTTGAAACCATTCCTGCTTAATTTTTTTTTCTAGTATTATGTGTGGACTTTAAGGGCTGATCACAATTATGCTTTTGAATGTATTCTGTCTTGATTTGTTTTTTAGCTTATTTTAATGGGATACCAGCGCTCTTGGGACATAATTGATTGGTTTGTTGTGTTCAGAAACTATTTAAATGATTTGACATATGCCAAAGAGTTTGAGTATGCACTTGTAGAAAGGACATGGGCTCTTGTTCCTTTTATTGTCCTTAACATTGAGCTTCACGCTCAGGCGTCCATTGGTTGGGCGGCTGCCAGATGTGTAACTTGTCGCTGGTCTAACAGTAACAGCAGGTTCAAACATGCAGAGCCATGGAAAGTGCCAGGGCTTCTGGTGTCTCTGTGGATACCAGCAACAGCAGAACCAGTTTACAAACACTACAGCAACAGAATGCCGACAACAAGCTCATTGCGCAAGGGTGCCAGGTTTTGTCTTTGTGGACTTTGGAAAGCTTTTGTGTGAGTTTCATAATCCAGTAGTCTAGATCCTGTGCTTTCAGCCCATGTCTGTCCCTTCTTATTTCTGCAGCATATACAGCAGTGATGAGGACGATGAAGACATTGAGATGTGTGACCATGACTATGATGGGCTGCTTCCCAAATCTGGAAAGCGTCACTTGGGGAAAACCAGGTGGACCAGGGAAGAGGTAACTCGTCGTTTTAATCAAGAGCCTGTAATGGGTGAAAACCGAAATTATAGCTAAGTTGCATGTGCTTGTGTGAAGACTCTTGGTGGGTTTACCCTGCCATGCCGGACAGAAGGTTCCCCCCACCCTCACCTCTGCCAGTATGTTCCTTCTGCGACCTGTTTCCAGATGGTTTGTTGTTCTTTGAGTGTTCCCAGCTTTCCCCTTTATGATTTGCCTGTTGATTTCTCATTCTGGAGCCTCGCCACTTTGTATGCCTTTTCATTATATATATCTTAACAAATCGTTTGTCCTGTGAAACTCTCACTGGCTGCTCTCTTTAAGGCTGGATGCACCCTCTATGTGCCCATGCCACTGAGTGCCTACTTGACTTCCCTGACGTTTCCACGTGTATGTCTTTCCCAACTTGCTGCAAATCTCTTGAGGGTGGGGATTAAAGTGTCTATCTTTATCAAAATCACTTGCTAAAATGTAGGATGGTAACAAATGTTCCCGGGGGGGGGGATAATGCATTGCTTTTTTTCTAAACTGAAACAGTCATAAAATTCATCATGCCATAATATATCCATCTAATATTCCTTACATATGATGCTTCACAGACCTATGTGTGTGAAAGGTTATTCTAAAGACATCCAGTAATGGGAGAAGATATGCCCACTTCTTGCTAGAACAAAACCATTAACGTATGAAGGTTTCTTCTCGACTGAACTCTGGAATTCATTGTGTTCTAAACCTGGGAGCTCCTAAGAGCAGGTGGACAAGACTCCCAGGGGGGCACCTAGGCCATGCGTGTTCCACCTGTCACGGTCAGGCCCTCGGCTGCCCCCTTGGGATATGGAAGTTCTGTTGTTAACCATGGTTTCCCATTCCTGTCTGTCTTGTCATTATGTGTGAATGGCATTTTTGCAGAACCCTATAAAAGCTATGTTTGTAAAGGCACGTGTGACGTAGTAGAGTGGTGGCCAGTGTACAGGCTGATAGAGCAGACTGCCTGAGAACGCTTGGTGTCTTCATTCATAAACTCTGAACATATTGAAACAAAACCTTAGTGACCTTACTGAATTAAATACACCTCTGAATGAAACATGTAAAATATCTTCGGCTTCTGTACGAAAAAGACTGAGCTAGTGGGGAATCATCTCTCCCATAGTCTCATCTCTTGCCCTGGTTGAATGGTAACTAGGTTTAAACACTGGAATTTTCTTTCCCCCATTCAGTAGAAGTGCCTACAGTTACCATCTACTAAACACCAACATATGCCAGGCTTCACTGTTTTGCATAATGGTATTGTGTAATCTCCAGACAACCCTGTTGGTAGGTACTACCATTCCTATTTTATAGATGACAATAGGAATCTGTTTATATAACTATTCAACAGCTGTGTCAAAGTAAAAGCTTTAGTCTGCCTGTAGATGAATCTATGCTCAAACCAGCGGAGTACATTAATATTGGCTTTATTGAGATGCTTTTGGAAACTATTTTTTTTTTCCGGATTGGCTCATGAGGTTGGTTCCTTTGTCCACTATAACTTGAACAGAGATATTCAGTAGACAACTGATATCCTAGGATTGCCTTTAAATGCCTTAGGATGAAAAGTTGAAGAAGCTGGTGGAACAGAACGGAACAGATGACTGGAAAGTGATTGCCAATTATCTGCCGGTAAGTTAGCTCTTGCTTCTTTTTGTGACAGAAAAACCTCCGCTGGTTTTAAAGAAAAATTCTTGGAGAGTTTATTAAGATACTATACATTTGTTTATGTAGATGTAAAGGGGACAGATCCAGCCACAATTTTTATTTCTGAATACACAACACATAATTGAGGTTTCTTAATATACTATCCAGAGATTTTGATTTTTTTTCCCAAAAATTGCTTCTTGTTTTGTTTTAATTTATCCTGATAATGTAAGTTAACATTCTGAAGGGTTGTTACAAGATAGAATTTTAAACTTGATATTTTCTCCAAATTAGTTTCTAAATTCCCCATTTTTTGTCAAAGTCACATTTTTTGGTATATGGATTTAAAATTCTGGAGTGCCTTTGGAATAATACCCTCCCATCTAAATGCTGAGTTGTGAACCTAGGATTCCTTTACAATCCTTTCATCCTTTTAGTTCCTATGTTCTGGCCACAGGGTGGCCGCCCTGCCCTCTCTATTACAATTGCGTCCTACCTTTTCACGCGTCCATCAGTTCAAACGTGATCAGCTGATAGAGCGACCTAAACTGTAGCTATTCCTAATGAGCCCTGTGCTGGCCTAGAGTGTCTGGGCTCCTGGGTTTTTGATCTCCTGCACCACGTAAACAAATAACAATTAAACAAAGCCCCACCAGTGGTGACATAGATTCTCACAAAGTAAATGAACTGTCTTGACCCGACACCCAAAGGCTCTCCTATCTGGTCTCAACTTATGGTTCCACTGTTGTCTCTCCCCCACCACCACCCCCTCTGTTTCCTACTTCCTCCCCACAAGCAGGTTTAGTTGTGTTCATTTCTGCTTTTTCTCTTCTGGGCTTTTCTTCCTTGTGATTTTACCCCCTAGAATGTTTCTCTCTGTCTCTCTGTCTCTCTGTCTCTCTGTCTCTCTCTCTCTTGCTTTTCCTGTTAAAAGTTCTGAGCATCTTCCAAAGGCCACGTCAGGAGCTCCTGAATGTCTCTGAAGGAAGCAGCATCTCATCTTTAGGGGGCCGTCTCCCCTTAACCCCAACAGCACTTTGCTTGGGTCTCTTCTTGCAGATAAATCAGTTTAAGCCATCTGTGATAATCAATTCTGTGTTTATCGTTTTCTTCTTCTAAGATGGGAAGCTCTTAGAAAGTGAGACCCTTTTATTGTTTTCATTCCTCCTCAACATGGTCCCGAACTAAGCATCTCTCGGTTTGAATGGGAAGCCCTTTAGTTCTTTCAAATGGATTTTCATTGAAACCAGGCAGTATGGGCTCTCTAGCCCATCTTTATCCACGGAGTTACAGACCACAGGCTTGGGTTAAGGTTAAGTTGGCATATGTGTGTGCCATAAGACGTCCCTTTTCTTCATGTGATGCAGCTATTCCCTTCACTAGTCACAGACTCCAATCCTAGATGCAACTTGGATATACTTTTAAGTCTGTAAACAGTGTGGGACAGGTGGGCTCTCTCTATACATGCCTTTCAATGTTTGTGAAAGTTTGCACTCTGTATTGTCCACATATAGTTCATGTTGAATGAAGTCTTTATGGGCTCATCACATTTTATCTTTGCGATGGTGCATGCTTTGTCTAGAACCGGACGGATGTGCAGTGCCAACACCGATGGCAGAAGGTGCTAAACCCCGAACTCATCAAGGGTCCCTGGACCAAAGAGGAAGATCAGAGAGTAAGTTCTGTTTCCAGGAGTTGTGTGAACTTGTAATTAAGATTATTTCTAAAACATGTTTCTCACCCCAAGGAAGCAATTTGTTGTACAAAAAGAAAGTAAAGGGCTCGCTCCCATATATATGTTCAGTGGATGAATGCAGGTTTATTTTTTCTTAAGTTCTCTAAAGATCTTGTAACATTGAAGCTTGATGACACTGACTCATTCTGTAACGTTAAAACACAGATTGCTTTTGTGTTTCTCTGAAGGTGATAGAGCTCGTCCAGAAATACGGCCCGAAACGTTGGTCTGTTATTGCCAAGCACTTAAAAGGGAGGATCGGGAAACAATGTAGGGAGAGGTGGCATAACCACCTGAATCCGGAAGTTAAGAAAACCTCCTGGACAGAAGAGGAAGACAGAATTATTTACCAGGCACACAAGAGACTGGGGAACAGATGGGCAGAAATCGCAAAGCTGCTGCCTGGACGGTAATAATTGATCAATACATTGATCGGGAAGAGCAAGAGGACGGTCATTGGACGTTCTAAATGTGTGAATGTATTGCAGTCTATCAATGAGAAGAATGTTGTTAGATAGACCATCACTGAGTTTTAGAAGTGGAAAAGAGATTTTGGAATTTATTTTGTGGCGCACAGTTATTGTCACCTCAGCAGTGGAATACATAAAAGCCCTTGGGCCAAGCCTTTTCCCCTCAACCTTCGCTTCTTCATTTGCAAAATTACTAATAGTCTATTTCATGAACTAATGTTAGGATCAAGGAAAATGAATGTCAAAGCGTCTTATAAGCTGAAGAACTCTAGCCACCTAGAAGGAAACCAAAGACACATAGATTGGTTTGGTCCCAGCCAGTTGAGTGATTGGCAATCATTTTGGTCATTCCTCTGCTGTAGTAATATCCATTTCTTACACCTCATTCTACCATTTGCATACTCTTTTTTCCAGTGACTAAAAAAGGCTCTGTATGTAGAATTATCATGCCATTTCCAATTTCTAACCAATTCCAGTGTAATGTCTTCTTTTTACTGCACAAGGCAGGAAAAGGGCCCCTTTATGAAAGATAATTGTGAAAGTTCACCTTTGACCCATTTTTCTGTCTGTATTTAAATATTAGGTATATAATTGATTTTATTTATTTTTGAGAAATACTTTTGCTATACATTTTAAAATAAAAGAACATTAAAAATGTTTTTATTCTTGAGCTTCTTAACCCCAAAGTGGAGAAAAGATCGTTTCAGAGATGGCTTATTTAGTATTTCCCAGTGTTGCGCCAAAGCATCTCCTCCCTTGTGGCTTGAGAGCTTCAAGAAGTCATGGATCTGGTCAAAGGAGATCTTTCCTCCCATGTGGCCTCAGGATATGCTGTTGACTTTTCTAAAAACTAAAGGGGCACCTGAACTTCCTCTTTTTAACACTCATTTCCCCACCCCCATGGAAATAGTAAAAGAGAGTCTTTAATGTTTTTTTCTTTCTTTTTTTTTCTTTTTTTGAGCTGAGAATTTTTTCCTGAGGGTGGAAAGAATTTATAGTAAATGCTTTGTAGTTTGAAACTATACTAGGCAGTCAAGTGTGGTAGGTAGCACTTACTTGTAATCCCAGCAACTCAGAAGGTAGAGGCCCAAAGATCAAGGCCAGCCCAGACTACTACCCTGTCTCAGGAACAACCCTTACCCCTCCCAAAAGACAGAAAATGTGCTGGGGCTAACAGCTTTCATGTGGGATCCTATTGAGGCTGGTGGAGAATGTCCTTACCACATTATCCAGTCTCTTCTTTGTCTAGTTATAAGAATAATGGGAGGGGCCGGGTGGTGGTGGTGGTGCAGGCCTTTAATCCCAACACTCAGGAGGCAGAGGCAGGCAGATCTCTGTGAGTTCAAGGCCAGCCTGGTTTACAGTGAGTTCCAGGACAGGCTCCAAACCTACACAGAAAACTCCTGTCTTGAAAAACAAACCAAGACCAATGAGAGTGGTTTCCAAAGGTAATAAAGATGTTTTTACTCTAACTTTGTACATAGAGTTATGAGAGGTACAGAGAAGGCACTGAGGCTTTGTCGTTGCTATTCCCAGGCTTGGCTAAGTCCCTGCTGTGGTGTCTTGACCCTGCTAAGGCCACACTATAAGGGTTTATAACCGCTGGGACTTTAAGTTGTATTAAAGTCCAGTAGCACATGAATGGGCAGAACCTAGAGGAGGATTATTATATTGAACATCGCCTTTATAAAGGAGTCAAAATGCTGAAAAGAAAACAGAATTTGCAGAAAACTCAATACATCCCAGATTGCAGTAGGAAGAGAAATCTATGGATTGTCAACTAGGCAGCCGGGAAAAGATCAAGACAATTAAAAAGAGAAAGTAGCGGTTATTGGAACCATAGAGATGATTTTTTTGTTGTTGTTTTTAGAAACAGTTTTCTGTCAATTAACTGCGATCTGAAATAGCATTGTTGTCAAGTTTGTCTGGGGCGCCTTTCCACACAGGACTGACAACGCCATCAAGAACCACTGGAATTCCACCATGCGGCGCAAGGTGGAACAGGAGGGCTACCTGCAGGAGCCTTCGAAAGCCAGCCAGCCCCCGGTGGCCACTGGCTTCCAGAAGAACAATCACCTGATGGGTTTTGCTCAGGCCCCACCTTCGTCTCAACTCTCCCCAACTGGCCAGCCGTCAGTTAACAGCGAATATCCCTACTACCACATCTCCGAGGCACAGAATGTAAGTCCAGTTCATATATATGAATTGCATGAGCCTGGTCTCAGGCGGCCCTCAGCTAGACTCTAGCTGAGGGTACACTTGAGTCTGGCTTCTGTTTCTGGAGACAAGAATGGGAATAGTTTGTCCTCTGCATAGACGTAGTGCTAAATAGAGTCTAAGTTGTCTGATTCTCACTCCCTGCTCCAAGTCTGATTTAAAGTTAGCTTTTGAATGTAAATGTCCTTAAAATGTTGCTAAGTCTTAACACTGGGTGAATGCAGATAGATTTATAGTCCAATATTTTGCTTTGTTCCAAAATGAAAAATTAGAAGGCTAAAGAGGAGACTATCAAGAAATGCTCATCATAGAACCGTCGATAAAATGACAAAACTTGCCCGCTGGGTGGTGGTGGCACACACCTTTAATCCCAAAACTGGGGAGGCAGAGGCTGCAGGATCTCTGTGAGTTCGAGGCCATCCTAGTCTACTGATCTACTGAGTGAGTTTCCAGGACAGCCAGGACTACACAGAGCAGAGAAACCCTGCATCAAAAAAAAAAAAAAAAGAGGAAAAAGATAAAGCTTACCCAAGAATTATAAAGATGATATGCAAATGTTATGTAAAACATATTCATGAATAGTTTTTACTTGGCTGTATCAGTTTCTTAGATTTGCCTACAGAATTTCCAGAAAGGTCTCTGGTGAATGAATTATCATAAACGCTTCTGTGCTTTTTATTAGAGCTAAACATTACTCTAAGAAAAATATCCCTGGTGACCAACAGCGAATGGTAGCAACATCTTCTGCATGAATCCTTTTCTCCATGGTTCCTTTTTCTGATTAAAGAATGCCTTCTGTTGGGGTAGAAAGACCCTTTGGGCTTCTTTCTCCACGTTTCTTGGACTATTTAGCCACTTTTCAACACCTGGCTAAATTTCAAGTTAGAGAAGTTTTGTTTTGGTTGTTGATCGTTCTGTGAGTTTTACCCGCCAAGTACTTTTCCCCTTTGGTCCCAGAAGGAATGCGTCTGAGCGACGCAGTCCTAAGCCTGAATGACTTAGCCTTCCTTTGTTGTGCTTCTTGGTCTAGGTGTCCAGTCACGTTCCATATCCTGTAGCATTGCATGTAAATATCGTCAATGTCCCTCAACCAGCTGCTGCAGCCATACAGGTGAGATGGGGAGAGGGGCAAACCCATTCGCTGACCAAGGCACCGCTTTTAAAGACACTTTATTTCTGCCACATAAGCACACGTGTTCCAATCTGTAATAGAAAGAAAAGCTAGCAGTTTTGAGGACCTACTTTGGGACAGGCGGTTACCAATGGTGGCTTCTGGAATGGTCTGATGCATCTGTGAGCATGCGCACTGGCCTCTGCTTTCCCTTTGTTGCCTTAAGTCCCAAGTTACTTTGCGCGACCAGTGGTGAACTTCGTGGGGGTTGGTTCCCCGCGGAAGCTCTAGGGGCTGTGTTAGGTGCCCCCCTCAGACCTTGTCTTTACCTGCTTCACTTGTCACTCCAGAGACACTATAACGATGAAGACCCCGAGAAAGAAAAGCGGATAAAGGAATTAGAACTGCTCCTGATGTCAACTGAGAATGAGCTGAAAGGCCAGCAAGCGTTACCAGTAAGAGCATCGCCATGTGACGGGCAACCTTGTCTCGGCCCTCTTCTCTCTCGGGCTTCTCCCCTCCTAAATATTGCATCAGCCAAGATCTGTGTATCTGTGAGCAATGCTCAAACGCCGGGAATTGCTGCTGGTAAACCTATTAGCGTCAGAATGCCCATTAACTGAATCAGAAGTGGTCTAGCTGTCTGTTTTATAATAGGACCGCAGTCACCACTTGGGATATCAGCATCCGCTTCCTTCAAAAGGACGGCCATCAATTTTAAAACTAGGAAAACTAGAATGAAACATCTGCATTTTAGCAAAGTTTTATAGACATGTAGTGACCATTTGTTGGAGCCTTTTTCTTTTACTGTTATTTTCTTAGCCTGTGTTTACACATTTTATAATCTCAAATTCAACTTGATGCGTATTTTGTCTATGCATGTCTAAAAAGGGGTACATAAGTCACTTCTTTAAATGTTTGCTGCTAACTTTGGTTTGCATGTATGAAAGCTGTGTGGCCCATTTCTATTAGTAGTGATAGTCCATTTCTGTACACACACACACATGTTCCCATAGGTGTGTACACGTGTGCATGCCGGTGTATGTGCACACATATGTCCAGGCCAGAGGTTGATATCGAATGTCTTCCTTGATAGATCTCTAGATTAAAAGTCTTATTATAATTGTGCCTGTTTGTGCACGCATGCTCACATGCACTTTTGGAGGTAAGAGGACAGCTTTCCAGAATCAATTCTTTCCTTCTACTGTGGGCTCTGGGGATCAAACTCTTTTTTTAATCTGCCTAGTCATCTCGCTGTTCATCCACCTTTATTTTGAGACAGGGTCTCATGAGACCTGGAGCTTGCCCATTTGCCTAGGCTTACTGGCCAAGGAGCTCATGGTTCTGCTTGTCTCTACCCCTCCAGCACTTGGGTTACAGACTCGAACTGCTGTGGATGCTTGGGGATCAAACTCAGGGTCTCACGCTTGCGCGACAAATCACTTTTCAGAATGCGACATCTCCCCAGTACCTCTACCCCTTCCTTTTTCTGTACTGACGATCGAACCTAGGGCCTCACATCAGGGGAAGATAGCACTCTGACCCTGAACTACAACAGCCCTAGCCTTCCCACGGGCTGTTTCTTGATTGGGCAGCAAACTGGAAAAGCAGATTATACTTTGGAACGTATGTAGTTTACCCAAGAAGTGAGTATGTGAGAAGTGGTACCCAGTAAGGATTCTTCAGGTGGAACGTCTTTTTTGTTGTTTTCGTTAAATAATAAAATAGCATGCGCGCGGTAGTTCAACCACTTTTGAACTTTTGTTAACATTTTGCAATTTCTCCCCTTGCGCGGTCACAAGGGAACTTCTGTTAACTTGATCCACTTCCTAACCGCGTACACTCTGCAGCCCCACCTTGCATCAGGGCAACCTGTAGCCTTAAAAAAAAATAGAAGCAACAGGATATGTGCAGATAAAGGTAGCAGCTCTAACCATAGAGTCCTTAGACTTAGGCTTAGAATGCAAATAGGACCATTGGTCAGTCACAGCAAACACGGGCAGTTTGCAAATTAAACTCAAATGGCTTTCTAAAACACTCTAAGACTTTTGTGTTTTCTAGCAGTCCCAAGGTTTTGCATTTGACTAAAATCATAGCTGGTGAAGCAATCCTGTAGGTATAAATTAGAGAGCTATTGCAAAGCCGTCAAAAAGGAAACATCTTGACAACTGTCTGGCAGACCCGAGTTTGAATGAGGCAACAACTTTTTATCTTGCCCTCAAGAGCGCTTGATGCCTTGTGCAACATCATTGCTAAGTTTCTTCTTCCTTTCTTCTCCCATCCTTATTTCTACACACCCCCTTCCTCCCTCAGACACAGACCCATACTTGCAGCTACCCCGGGTGGCACAGCACCTCCATTGTGGATCAGACCAGACCTCATGGAGACAGTGCACCTGTTTCCTGTTTGGGAGAGCACCGCTCCACTCCTTCCCTGCCTGCAGATCCTGGCTCTCTACCTGAGGAAAGCGCCTCGCCAGCCAGGTGCATGATCGTCCACCAGGGCACCATTCTGGATAATGTTAAGAACCTCTTAGAATTTGCAGAAACACTCCAATTTATAGATTCTGTAAGTAGAAGTGCCAAGGCACGTCGTTTCTGGAAGAGGAATTGAGTACTGATAACGAATCATTGCCATTTTCTATAGCAGATATGTTTGGGCCTACACCCTTGCAAAGCGAAAGGACTTCAGGTCTGGCGAGTCCATTTCTCTCAGCGGTCTGATTTCATGTGCTACCCACACCAAGGATGACTTTCCATAGCTTGCCTTCCGCATGGGAATTTCCTTAAAAAATAATTTGACTTACCAAGAAGGGCTCAGGATAAGAACTGCGTCTGAGCTGTTTTAAAACATAATTTCTTGTATTTTGCTTACTTCTTGTGATACTCTAGAAATTTTTCCTTGCTGTTATCGTTTTTTTTCCCTTTGTTTTGTTTTTGTTTTGACAGCATATTTGGGCTTAAATTTCCTTGGAGCATAAAGACAAACTTTCAGTTTAAGGGCGGGACATAGCTTTCTCTCCAGAATACTGAATATTGATTAGCAACTTCATTGGTTCACTGAAATAAACCATCTTCAGTGAAACAAATTTAAGTTCAGCAAACTCTCATTTTCTTTTCTTGGTCTCCTGGTTGGTTAGAAAGCAGCCAGTACCATAATGTGTTGTCTAGAAAGGTTTTCCACTTGCTTTAAATGCACGCAAAAGAGAGTGCCTGAGCTCCCCACAGTAGATGGACCAGGCTACCCACGGACGCCTGTGACCCCTGAGCTAGAAGTCCAGCAGACAGACCCAGGGTTTTCTTGCCAGCAGCATTCCTCGCTCGCTTGCTCGGTGCTGTGTTTCGGGTGATGGTGGCACTGGCCACACGCACACACCTTGTCTCAAAGCTCTGTGCCTCCCACATTGTTTCAGGACTCTGCATGGTGTGATCTCAGCAGTTTTGCATTCTCTGAAGAAGAAGCAGCTTTTTCACGTAGCCAGCAGCACACAGGCAGAGCCTTCCAGCTTCAGCACAGAGAGGGCCATGGGACTAGACCTGCTGGAGAGCCTGGCCTGAGGGCGAACAGCCCAGTGCTGAGCCGGGAGGCTTCCCCTGGCCCAGCCAAAGCCTTACCTCCTGCGAGGCACAGCATGGTTCCACTGGTCATCCTTCGAAAAAAGCGGGGCCAGGCCAGCCCCTTAGCCGCGGGAGACTCTAGCTCCTTCCTATTTGCTGACCTCAGCAGCTCAACTCCCCAGCGGTCCCCTGTCAGAGGCTTGCTCTTCTCTCCCTCGCAGGTAGACCACAATTTCTGCACAGCTGTTACTAATTTTCAGCAGACACCTGAGCCTTAATAATTAGAGACTAATCTCCTGGACAAAATGACTAATGACCGCTGTCCTGGCCGATTTAACTCTGTCTCGGATCTAGCTGGGGTGGTTGCAGATGGCCTCCAGAGCGTGGGCTGGCGGCAGGCTGGCCGATGGCTTTGTCGCCGCTGTGCTCTCTCTCTCTCTCTTACTCCTGGTGGTTTGGAAGACAGATAGCTGCATGAGATGCGCTTTCATTTCCTTCTCCGCCGGAACCGAGCATTTCCGTGCCCTCCTCTTCCCCCGTGTCATCCTCCCTCTCCAAATTCTAACATGGTTTCTGCCTCTTTGCTCGTTTATTACTAAGTGATTTACTCACCCCTGGGGAGGAGGGAACCAAATTATGGTTACATAACATTTGGATTACAGCTAGAGAACGGAATCATTAGAACCTGTCTGTAAGTGGAAGTGTTGAGGGAGACAACGACAAACAGATGCTTATGCAAAAATAATTTAACGTTTTCAGCATCGGCTCTTTTCAAATTTGCCAGGGCATTTTTACCGGGGTACTGTTTGCCAAGACATATTCTTATTTTCATATAGTGCCCTTAAGGCATGAGCATTAGAATGCTTCGCGGAGCCTTGTGTTCCCACATTATAATTAAGAGACAGTCTGTGTCTTTAAAACATTTTCCCCCAGTTATATCTGTTGAAGGTTTTGCATTTCGTTTTATTTTACTTCATTTTATTTTCATGTGCTTCTGCGACTCGAACCCGGGAACTCTTGCATGCTAGCGAAGTGCTCTACCACTGAGCAACACATGCTCCTAACCGTGATTTAAAAAGAACTTTAAGGGTAGACCAACGTTCTTCCCATCCCCCGAAATATAGATTTAGGTGGTTTTTTTTTTCCCTTCCCTTCCTATTTTCCTAAACTGTGCTCTGTGAAATTAGTTCTGAAAGACCTAAAATATCTCGGGGGGGGGGGCGGTTGAGGGGAAGATCTAGATAGATAGAGAAGTTTGGAACACTGACTCAGGGTTTTAGAAGACTTCTTTACTAGGGTACCCCTCAGACTTTGTTTTTGTTTGGATGTTTTTATTTTTTTAGTTTTTCAAATTGCATACAGAGTCTTTCAGGCTGCCCTGGCTTGCCTTACACTCCTGGGCCCAAGAAACCTTCCTGCCTCTGAATAACTGTGATTACAGGAAGCGGCCACTGTGCCTGGCTGCCCTGTGAGTTTTAAGTGTGCTGGTGTGTAGCGGGTCTTCCCAGGAGTTAAAATCCCTTACGTTTCCCAAACCTATTTTGCTTTGGGAACATTAGGATTCCGAGAGAGATAGCTTCTTACTCAGTGATTTTTCCACATAATGCAAACCTTACATAGTATTACTCTAAGTTACTAGATCATTGAATCGAGAAAACCAAATATGAAAGAGAAGTAAGATAATAATTTTTTTAAGGTTAATCCAGGGCATGCCCCGTTCACTTTCATGCAAGTGTCACTTATGGAGAAGATTTGCCTTTGAATTTTGCAAGGCTTTAACTTTGACCCTAGATTTTGTTTCTTATAAATAACATGCCAAGTTTTGATCCTCAGTGGAAGGAAATCAATATCCCCATCAACACTGCCTGGTTGCTAGCGTTGTCAGTATTTGGGCTCGTGAGTCCCTGGAGTATCCTTGCTTACTATCTGGGTCTGCCTTCAAATTGGGATGAGCACAGATTCATTATTTAATCTAAGCTAGTTTTTTCTCTCTTTTCTTCCATATTTAGTTCTTGAACACTTCCAGCAACCATGAAAACTCAGGCTTAGATGTGCCTACTTTAACCTCTACCCCTCTCAGCGGTCACAAGCTGACAACACCATGTCATAGAGACCAGACTGTGAAAACCCAGAAGGAAAATTCCGTGTAAGTCCTTGATTCAGTAAGAAAATGTTTATATTTATTTTAATGAAGACACAGTCCCAGAAGTTGACCCTCTTGTATATAAGTAATTCGTTCACTGTATGTATCCTGTACACTCCCACAATGAATATATCCTGAGCATGTTACGACTAACCAGGGTAGGACAAAGGAAACAAATTGCTTTTTCTAGTGCAGTCTAAGCACACACAACGGTATTTTTCATACACTTCTCGCAGCCAATTTTTCTCCCCATTATTTTTTGATGTTCTTTAAAAAAAGATTAAAGCATTCAGAATAGAATTGAGAATGGTTCATAGTTTATATTTTTTTAATTTTACTTTTTCTTTTTTATAAGATATATGCATTAGGATCTCTTTAGATACTCACAGGAAAGAATGGATGGATGGATGGATGGATGGATTTATGTGTGTGTGTATATATGTGTGTATGTGTATTTCAAAGCCCAGGGTGATTAAGTAATTGAGAAGAAATAAATTCTTTGAAAGAAATGCATTCTTATTACTTCCAAGTAAAAGCAAAGTGTTAGATATTTGCATGTTTTCTAGTTTTGGCCCACTTGAGGGAGTAGAGAAGACTGATTTGTGATACCAGATATCGCCAGCACTTTCAGTCCAGGGCCATTACCTGTGTCGTCGGGACCATTCTCAAAAGATGGGAACTGGTTTAGAGCTCTTAGTCTTAGGACAAAGCATTTTGAAATATTTGTAGATCTGCAGTATAACAATACTGATCCCACTACCCCTTAATCTGCAGTATAACAATACCGATCCGCTACCCCT